ACCACAATAAAAACTCACGAATATCAACAGCCAAACCCAAAGATTAAGGCCAGATAATAACAATGGCTCAAGAGAGAAACAAGCAACAACATCAACCCAACAGAAGAAACAGTAAATCTACCTTAACATCATTCGTCCAATAACATGGAATGCTTTAAACTCTCCACTCAAGAGACATAGCTGGCTGAAATGTACAGATACACGGCCCAACGTCTATGCTGTCTCAGGACCAACACATCTTAACCTGCAAGGATGCATACTAGACTAATAAAAGGGTGGAAGATCAGTATCAAGGCAGTGGAAGCCAAAAGAAAGCCTGGCGTGGCCAGTTCTAGTTTCAGACGATTTTAGTTTAAGCAACAAAAGTGTGAGAGAAGAGGGTCATTATAAATGGAGGGCACAGCCTTCAACAAGGATAGAGTGGTGATAACAATTTAAAATATAGTGCCACCAACTTAGGTGCACCCCAGTTTCATAAAGCAAACTTACTGATCTAAGCAAAGGATTAATAGCAACTCCATATCATCGCACCGGATTATTTCAACACCCACTGAGGCACAAGACAGATCCTCCAAACACGAAAATTAATAAAGAAATAATGGACTTAACAAACCCTGGTAACACTGGTTGACTGACATCTACAGGACATTCTACCCAAAACACACATGACTATACGTTCTTCTCATCAGCTAGCGAGACTTCCTAAGATTGAACATATCCTAGATGATTACACAAGTAAATCTCAAGAATTATTAAAAAAAAGAAATCATACCATTACCTTCCAAGATCCAGTGGATAAAGTCAGATCACACCCTAACAGAAACTCACATTCTACACAAAAACGTGGAAATTAAACAACCTCCTACTAAATGATTACTTCATAAATGAAGAAATCAAGATGGAAATAAAAAAATTCCATACTCCAAAAAAAAAAAAAAGAATATTGTGTTAATACGTAGGCTCAGCTAAGCTCTAAAAATGGATTTGTTAAAACATTTCAAATAGTCCAAGGTTAGGGAAGTTTATGGCACTTGACCTACGTGATTATACTGTATCTTACTCAGAAGATGATTACAAGGAAGATTTTATCCTAAAGACTATTTTCATATTGCAGAAGCTAAGACCAGATGCGTGGGTTCTTGAGAAACAGAAAGGACCAAAGTCTAAAGCCACTTGAGCAAGTAGTGACATAAACAGCACAGAAGAGTAACATATTAAAACCTATTATTGTTTGCCAGTTGTAAAAGGAAAAGGAATGTTGACTGGCTTGGTTATGGCTGGAACTGGTCTGTGAGAAGAGATCTCAGAGGGAAAAGAGTGGTAGGAGAGGCCCTGATTAGAGTGACAGCAAGTGCAATGATTAGTAATGACTCTGCTGGGGGACAGTATACAAGTCCAAAGAGACGGGCAGCTCTGGGGTCTGGGTGGGAAAGAGGTACCTGATCTCTGTAGGTCCCGAAGGCACAGCCTCTATACAGATGTAAAGTGAAAGCGTGAGGGCAAAATGACATTTTAACTACTCTGTTAAAATTAAGCCCCAGCACTTACTTTTTAAAAGAGTCAATCTTCTTATTTGGACTATTCTCCTTTCCCAGGTTACCCATTTCTTAATGTTGCTAGGTCAACAAAGTGTTATAACCACTGGAATAATAGTACTGCCAGTAGCTAATGTTTATTATGAGCTTATCATGTACTAATATGTTGCTGGGTGCTTTTCTATGCATTTCATTCTCAGGACAACATTACCAGGTAGATTTTATTATTCTTTCTGTCTTATCTATGAGGAAACTGAGGTATTATTGAAGGATTAAGTATATTACCTAGGCCATAGAGCTGTCAAGTTTTACAGCCAGGAGCTGAGCCACTTTAAAATTCACACTGTTTACCAATATGTTATGCATATTTTCTTATTGGCTTGGATGGAAAATACTAAAATATGGTTCCTGGAGTTTCTTCTTTTGCAGCTAGGTGATACATTTTTGAAACTGCTTATCAGGTTCTTGGTGTCCCTCCTCCTCTCCTGGCACAGGGTAGAGGAGGAGGAGAGAGAAGACTATTAGCTATAAATAGAAGCTACAGGGCTGGGTGCGGTGGCTCACGCCTGTAATCCTAGCACTCTGGGAGGCCTAGGCGGGTGGATCACTCAAGGTCAGGAGTTCAAAACCAGCCTGAGCAAGAGCGAGACCCTGTCTCTACTAAAAATAGAAAGAAATTAATTGGACAACTAAAAATATATAGAAAAAAATTAGCCAGATATGGTGGCACATGCCTGTAGTCCCAGCTACTCAGGAGGCTGAGGCAGTAGGATTGCTTGAGCCCAGGAGTCTGAGGTTGCTGTGAGCTAGGCTGATGCCATGGCACTCTAGCCCGGGCAACAGAGTGAGACTCTATCTCAAAAAAAAAAAAAAAAAAAAAAAAGAAAAAGAGAAAAGAAAAGAAAAGAAAAGAAAAGAAAAAGAGAAAAGAAAAGAAAAGAAGCTACCAAGTCCTTAAAAACAAGGCATTCTTGCTATGGGTCCCATCGTCAGGTGATGATTGAATCGATGTGGGATACAGCCAAGGTTGAGAACAACTGCTCTAGCAATAGGAAAGGTAAATATCATCAAAATCCCTCCTTTAATAAAAACAGAACATTACAGATAAAGTTGAAGACTCTTTGACTACCACCCCCAATTAAGTGGTGAAAGGCAGGAAAAATGGGAGGACAAGTACAGGGCATTATCTTAAAGATTAAAAAAAGATGAGTCTTCCATCAGGCTCAGTAACAATTTTATATTTTTTTGTCAAGAGAAGTGCAAAACTGGATTAGGGTTAGAGATGAGCCAGAAGAATATCCAAAAGGTCGAAAATGAAGACCAGTTAGAACAGATTAAGAAAGTGGGATTAATCATTAGAGAGAAGAATCATCAACTCTGCCAAAACTATTTATGTACAAAGTGCTGTGGTGGATATACACATAAAACAATATCTTCTCAAAGAACCTGTCATTTAGTTGATGAGACATAAAATGCATGTGAAAAGGTATTGTTTCCAGTATGTGTGGTAGAAGTCAGAAGAAGAAGAAATCACTTCTGCTGGAGCAATCATGCGTTATAAATTATAGTGTTTTCTAGTTTTCAAATCTTTCATATGAGCCTTATATCCTGTGAAATTTGTAGGACATATTTTGCTGAAATCATACAGATAAATTTTATTAATTAAAACACAGAGAAGGGAAGCAATATGCCTAAGATCGCTTAGAGAGCAAAAGGCAATGGAAGACTCACTAGCATATAGGTCTCCTGACCTGGTTCTCTTACCACACAACAGAAACAAGGAGAGTTGAGCTGAGCCTTGAAGAAATGGCAAGTGTTAGGCAGAGAGGCCCCGAGTAGAGGGCATTACAGGAAGGGAAATGCCATGAACCTGTTCCAGGACCAGCAGGTGGAGCCAGGCTGCAGGGGAGAAAGTGAGGCTGGCTCCTTAAGGGTCTTCATACCTCTTTTAAAGCATTGGGATTTACACTCGGGCAGCAGGGGGAGCTGTTGAGGGTGGGTGCAAAGGGGTGTGACATGAGGGAAGCAGGATTTTGATGAACAGGAAGAAAATGAACTGCAGAGTTGGAGCCTTTAGGGCTATGAGAACATGCAATGATCGGATGGCACCAGAATAACTTCTCATATTTCTGGTTGCTTAGATAGATTTTGCTTAAAAGAATGAGAGAGATCCAGTAAGGCAGATGATTCTTTAAGGATTCTTCTTGATGTTTAACTTTAAAAAGCAAACAGGAAATTGCTTACTTCATAGATGACTGTGTGACACTGCAGTGACCACATGCTGGCCTGCCATAATGAGTTCCCAGGTAAAATTAAAATGTTCCCAACCTTCCATAATCATTATTTGCCTATCTCATAGATGGTTGGATGCAAGGAGATAATACGTTGGGAACACTTGCCACTGTTTCTCACAAACCGATGGTCAATAAATCTTAGTTATTTTCATTTTCAAATGTCTAGATATTTTCATGATTTAACAATTTTTCTTTTTATTCATGTGGAGATATATGGTATAGAGGTTAAAAGCAGAGACTAGAATCTCACAAACCTGAGCTCTGTGATTATGACATAGTCACAAACTCTCTCTTATCTATAATATAGGAATGGTAATCCTGCCAGGCGCGGTGGCTCACGCCTGTAATCCTAGCACTCTGGGAGGCTGAGGCGGGCGGATTGCTCGAGGTCAGGAGTTCAAAACCAGCCTGAGCAAGAGCAAGACCCCGTCTCTACTATAAATAGAAAGAAATTAATTGGTCAACTAATATATATAGAAAATTAGCCGGGCATGGTGGCGCATGCCTGTAGTCCCAGCTACTCGGGAGGCTGAAGCAGAAGGATTGCTTGAGCCCAGGAGTTTGAGGTTGCTGTGAGCTAGGCTGACGCCACGGCACTCACTCTAGCCTGGTTAACAAGTGAGACTCTGTCTCAAAAAAAAAAAAGAAAAAAAGTAATGGTAATCCTAACCTTGGGAGATTATTATAAGGGTTAAATGATGTATTATATATTAAGTGGTTAGTGTGTAGCAATGGCTCAATAACTGATAGCTTTTGTTTTATTTTTATTTTTAGACTTGACACAAAAGTACTCAATGGTTGAAACAATAATAGCTTGTAAATCTTTCTGAAAACCTCCCATTCACTCTGAGCATATTTGGAGTTACTTGATAGATTATGAATCATAAGAATAGGGTTGGGGAAATACATAGTGTGGGAAACACAGTCCATCTCTACCATCTTTCTGGGGGGAACATTTTTTTTTTTTGTAACTGTGAAAATGTTCCATAGCTGCCAAAAGTACATGAAATCAGCTAAAAAAATTGAATTGGAAAATGTGAATCATAGTCAAAATCTTGCATTTTTCATTCAGCTAGAAAATAAAAATAATCTAGTTTTGGGATTTTTATAAACGTATTGAAGAAAAATATTTTTTACTTTCTTTGAAACACACATTTAAAAAGATACTTACGTCATAATATACACCTTGACCTGGCCAAGTCAATGCTCTCTTCTTTGAATCTGTGGGAAAATCAAGCAGTTCATATCTGTAAGGATGACCTGAAAATTCAGGAAAAGTATTGTTATCCTGAAGAAATAAGCACAGTCTTTTATCCAATGGGATTAATAAGTACTATAAATACAAATGAGAGAGGCAGAGATGAATGTTGTTGGTATACATATTAGCTGCATAGTTACAGCTTATAAGGCAAATTCTGCTCTTGAATTCTTGAGCCCTCACGTAAGCAGTGTGTGGCTACATACAGTGAGAATGAGTCTTTAACTCTAGTGCTCTCAGCAGTAACTGGTACATGGCACCAGGACTCCACCTTTCTTGTTAATGACACAGATCCTTATTATGTAAATAATAAATCTTCCCGGATTCTCTTTCTGGTCTCTGGGGGCTCAACAAATACATTTCTATACTACTTATTTTGGCCTTTCTCTGCCTAAATATTAAGAGTTTTCCAAAATTGAATTAGTACTTGCTTACTCAAAAGGTACTAAATGAGAACATTTTAAAGATAACAGCATCTTAGATTTTGGTTCATAATGTTATAAACTTTACAACACAGCATGGCTTTGTTCCCATGATAAGTTTCAGGTTAAAGAATGTTCTAAACACCCATCCTCATATGTAGTAAGAACAGAGGCTGGTGTTTATTGAACATTTACTATGTGCCAGTCACTAAGTGTTTTTTATATATATCATCACATGCATTTTTCATAACATTACTATGAGAAAGATACTATTTTTTCCTACTTTAATGAATAAGGAAACTGAGGCACAGAGAGAATAAATAATTTTTCCAAGATCACACAGCTGTAGGTAGAATTCAAACTTAGGTAATCTGGTTCTAGAACCTGTACTCTTAACCTACATGCTTCTTATTTCTAATAAAGAAGAGTTAAAATAAGTGGAAAAGTAGAAATGTAAGCAATACTAGTTTTTGGAAAGATCTTTTTATAAGGGTTATTATAGTTACCTTTTTAAAATCCCCTAAGAGTGACTAAATGATCAGAGAGAGATAGATGCTTGGAAGAGCAGGAAATTAAGAAGGCAACTTGTTTCTTCAGTCCCTTATCTAAAACTGTACTGAAAAGTGTTTTTATGAAGTTAACACATATTTCTGTGATTTTTTGTTAACTATATGTACTTCATATAATTTCAGAAATCCTCATTGAGGATCGAAAAATAATTTACTTTGACGATTTACTTAATAAGATCATAAAAATTTCAGTTGTTTAGGTATCATATCTTTTTTTTCCCCAAGAGATTTGGGTCTCACTCAATCTCTTGATTGAGTGCAGTGGCATGATCATAGCTCACTGTAACCTTGAACTCCTGGGCTCAAGTGATCCTCCTGGGATTACAGGCATGTGCCACCATGCCCAGCTTTAGGTATCAAATCTTACAGTTCTTTTGCACAGTACCCCCTCTTCCAACTGCCCCAATATATATAGTTATGGCACTCGACACTAAACTATCACTCTACTTGATACATTTTCACTACTTTTAATCAATGCTGCCTGGTCTGAGAGGCGATGGAAAAGTTCAGCATGGCACACACATACTGGAGTCCTTTTATGTTAACAGGGCAATAGAAATAATAATTGCTAACATTTATCTCTGTAATTCATGAAGTAGGCACTCATATTTCCATTTTATGGACCAGAAAGTAGAGGCAGAGAAATTCAGAAGGTTTCCCATGGTGCACAGTAAGTGGCAGATTGAGAATTCTAGCCATGCAGTCTGACTCCAAAGTCCATGCTCTTAAGCATTCTGCTATGCTAGCGCTCAAAACACTGCTGTCTGCTAATTAGGTATTGAGGTTGAGATTATGGCAGTATTCAGTCCTTGCATTTTCAGGTACAGAGGAATTGCACTATAGGACAATTCTTGAGTCTCACCTACCTCACAGCCTAAATGCATTCCACACATTTTTACCTTTGACTACCTTGTGCCTTTCTATTGCTTTCAGCTACACTCTCTATCAGTCTTTCTCCAGAGTTGTCCTCTTTGTTTTCACACGTGTGTAGGTCTCCTCGGCAGTGACTGAGGTGTCTAGTGTGGGGGAGACTTGGTGACTGGTGTTGGGATTGCTGTCCTCTCTGCTAAAACACACCCACAAAGACGCCAAGGGTTGAGACTGGAAGAAGATGCTCCAGGGTGTTAAGAGGAACTGAACGAACTGCTCCCATTACTTTCTGAGTCTTATTTCCAGGGGGGAATCTTTCAATTTAATCACTGCTGCTGCACCTACATCCAGACTCTAATGATTGAACCAAACATCGTTCCTTGTGCTGGCCATCTGAGCTAGGATGGAATTTTAAAAAGCTAAACCATAGGAGAGAGAGAAGGAAGGAAATAAAAACAGAAAATACAGGTAGAATAAAAACCAATTCTACAAAGTTTTGGTTTCCGATTTTACCAAGGGAGGTGGTGTGTAAAGTAGAAAGGTCAGGAGTGTCTGCAGAGTCTGATTTAACTGGTCTTCGGTGGGGTCCCAGCTGATTGTAAAGTGCAGCCACAGCTGAGAACAACTTTCCTAATCTACTGATGAGTCACGCGTTTGAGACTTGAATCCTTTCTGCTCTTTGCTTTCTTTAACTTTATTATTAATAAATCCCCCAAATAAAAGGAATTGATACGGTTCTGATTTCAAATCACATTTTACCTCTTGTCTTCGAAACCGTTGTATCATAAGCCTTGGTTGGCACAGTGGGAGAGAAGGGCTGCTGGGCACGGGCTTTAATGCCAGTGTAGAGGTCCTTAGGTGATGTGAAGGTCGGGAAAGTGGCACCACGAGGAATGTGTGTATGGTAGGGGTGTTCAACTGGATATGATGAGCAGATCTCTCTAAGATTTATTGAGCAAACAAAACAAAACAAAACAAAAAAAAAAGAGGGAAAGAAGTGTGATTGAAAAAATTAATCATCAACTATTTATTGGGGCCCGTTTTTTGTTGCAGTGACTATTCTAATCCCTGGGAATATGACAGTGAGACATGCAAAGTCCCTGTACTCATGGAGTTAGCATTCTGCTGGAATGTATACTAAAAAACATGAGCTTTTCTTAATTTTGCTAAACAAAACTATATTTTTAGAATAAATCCTACCTAATTATCAGTGAATAACTTCAAATAATTAGTATAAAAATATAAAGCAAAAGATATATGCATTTTGTGCTTTTAGAATAGTATAGGAAGAATTTCTAGTTGCTTTTAATTCCTGCTCCTTGTTTTAAGAGGATTCCAGGAGTTTATTTTATTGGATTGTTTTGGGCATTTGGTTTCAGTAACAAAGACTGATCTCTATCTTGGACTGAACTTTCAACCTAGGCTATTTGTTCTTTAAGCAATCAATCAACAAAATATATTGCCTGCTTATGCACACAATACTGTTTCAAAATCAAGAAGCCAAACGTAGCTAGTACATTGAAGGTGAAAATAAGTTAAGAAAACCACAGAGATACCATTTTCTTCTCACTCAGAGAACTGGCAGAGGTTAAAAAACAACCAACCAACCATGTGGGGGCTGTCTAAATTAGAAGAAAATTGAGATTAGGAAGTCCATGGGATACAGAAATGTTGTTTATAATTAGAAAATTAAGTAGAAAGAAGCAGGACCAGTGTTATGGGCAGAATCATACCTTCCCTATCAAACCCATATATTGAATTCCTAACCCCTAGGGCCTCATACTGTAATCTTATGTGGAAATAGGGTTATCACAGATGTAATTAGTTAAGGTGGAGTTTCTCTATACTAGAGTAGGGTGGGGCTCTAATTCAGTATGACTGATGTCCTTATAAAAAAGGAAAACCTGGATACAGACAGGCACACAAGGAGAATGCCATGTGAAGAGAAGGCCGAGATCAAATCTGCAAGCCAAGCAACACGAAGGTCGCTGGCACACCACCAGAAGCCAGGAGGGAGGCATGAAATAGATCCTCACATCCATCAGAATGAACCAATCCTGCTGCCACTTGGACCTTGGACTTGCAGCCTCCCTCTTTGGAACTTAACCCACCTATAAGCAGAAAGGTGAATCCAAGAAATATAACCCAAAAAAAAGGGCTTTACTTTTCATACTGCTTATGAAGAGAATGCAAAAGTCCCAACCAAGGGTTCTTCATATAGTTGTTTTTAAAAAAACAAAACCCAAAAAAATCTAGACCTTAATTTTCATAGCTTTTTGAGTCAGTCATTGCTTTAACTGAAACACAATTTTAAAATGTCAATTTCATATTTTCAGTTAAGACTGACAGAGGACTCCAGCAGCACTGAGAGCACCTTGTGCTCAGATGTCAGTTTCTAGTACCAGTGTCCAGTGAAAGGAACCAGGGTTTCTTGGAGTTATGGCTGATTCTAGGAGCAGGGCAGGGAATATACAAGATGAGCCTGGAGCATCTTAAAGTGCCAGAAAGTGAGGAAATGCTAAAAGCAAAGAAACCCAAACACCACACAATGATGGAGGAAATGTCAAAGGAATATAGGAGTGAACTAAAAGAGCTCCTAATGGCCAATTAGAGTAACAAAATAAAGTGACATTGGATTACTGCCTGAGTACCAAAGCATAAAATAAATCCACAAATCATGAATATAAATAAATGGTTAAATAAATAAATGGAGTAGAATAGATAAATCTCCTATGCAAAAGAATGCCAAATAATTTATGTAGGTATTCTGCTCTCAAGAAGGTGGAGTGTACTTCCAGACTCTTTAAGTGTGGGCTGCACTGTGTTCTTTTAAAGAATGAAGTGGAGAAAGGAGAGAAAAAAGAGTCGAGTGTACATTCAGTGGGGAAACCCAATAAACACTACCTCTGCTAGGAGATTAAAATTAACATCAACAGTAATAAATGATCTTGATAGAATGTACTCTTTTTTTTGTTTGAGACAGAGGCTCGCTTTGTTGCCCAGGCTAGAGTGAGCATGTACTCTTGATATGATGTGATGAAAGTGGCACTTTACTTCTGTGGAATTCCTTCCCAAAATACATCACCCCAGTCTAATCATAAGAAAAACATCAGTCAGACCCAGTCTGGGGGCATTCTATGAAATATCCAATCAATGATCTTCAAAATCGTCACGGTCATCAAAACAAGGAAAGCCTGAGAAATTGTCACAGCCAAGAAGAACCCGAGGAGACATGATGACTGAAAGTAATGTGGTGTCCTGGATGGGATCTTGGAACAGATAAAGGACATTAGGATAAAACTGAGGAAATCTGAATAAAGTATGAACTTTAGGAAGTAGTACTGTATCAATTTTGGTTCATGTGCCATATTAATGTCAGATGTTAACAATAGGGGAAACTGGGTGTGGGAACTCTCTGTATTATCTTCCTAATAATTCTATAAATCTAAAAACTATACAAAAATTAAAAGTTTACTTAAAAAAAGATTTACAGGGGATATCATTGGAGAGAAATCAAAATAATGTTATCTTGGAGTTACATCAGCCTCTCGTTGCAATTGTTAAAAAATAGCTTTCATGAAAAGTCTTATCCTCACACTTGTCTAAGGCATATGGAATGTCAATGTGTGTTTTCTTGATTGTAACAGGGAAGGAAAATATAAGTTGAATACTTACCCTACTGCTGAATTAGGTGGTTTGGGTAACCTAGAATAAAAACAAGAAAGAAGATCTGATTTATATTAAGGGCTTTTTATGGCTTACATTACTATTAGGAACTTGATTAAGAATAATATTGTACCCTATTTTCAAACTACAGTGTCATTAAGATAGTATGTATATGTGTATGTATGTATGTATGTATTTATTTATTTTAGAGACAGAGTCTTGCCCTATTGCCCAAGCTGGAATACGTGGTGTGATTGATTGCTCACTGCAGCTTTGAACTCCTGAGCTCAAGCAACCCTCCTGCCTCATCCTCCCAAGTAGCTGGGATTACAGGCAACTGCCACTGCACCTGGCTAATGTTTTTTAGTTTTCTTTGTAGAGATGGGGTCTTGCTATTGCCCAGGCTGGTCTTGAACTCTTGGCCTCAAGCAATCCTCCTGCCTGGGCCTCCCAAACTGCTGGGATTATAGGTGTGAGCCACCACTCACAGCCAAGATAATAATCTTTTTTTTTTTTGTTTTTGAGACAGAGTCTCACTTTGTTGTCCAGGCTAGAGTGAGTGCCGTGGCGTCAGCCTAGCTCACAGCAACCTCAAACTCCTGGGCTCAAACGATCCTTCTGCCTCAGCCTCCCAAGTAGTTGGGACTACAGGCATGTGCCACCATGCCCGGCTAATTTTTTATATATATATATCAGTTGGCCAATTAATTTCTTTGTATTTATAGTAGAGACGGGGTCTCACTCTTGCTCAGGCTGGTTTTGAACTCCTGACCTCGAGTAATCCACCCGCCTCGGCCTCCCAGAGAGCTAGGATTATAGGCGTGACCCATTGTGCCCGGCCAAGATAATATTCTTAATTAATTTTCTGGATCCTTGAATATTGACAAGACACAGAGATCTGATGGCTTCATGTCTCAGTTGTCTACTGATCAATTTTTTTCATTCCATTTATCCTAACTTCAGTCCTGCTTACCACCCTTTTTGCATTTCTTATTTGTAGCGAAGATACAGGGCTGACTACTTCTAATGAGGAAGAGCTGTAGCTCTTACTGAGCTTCACTCTCATAATTAGGCAGTAGGCAAAGTGCTCTGAGAGAGCCAAACGTCACATGTGTAGCGAAATTACATAACCTGAAGTGACCTGAGTGTGGCCCAGTTGGAGAGGATACGCAAGTACCACGTTGTACTTTGTCCCTTTGCCCAGGGTTGCTGGTCTCTCATGACCGTAAATGTGGCCCAGTCGACAGAGAGAGGCAAGGAAAAAAAACTGACCAAGCTTCTGGAGGCATGCCTTCCGAACCAGTTCATTCCAAGGTTGTGTATTTACAATTACTCTGAACCTTGCATGCCAAGAAATAATATTACAGCCCTGGAAAAAAGTCCACTTAAAAAGAGAATTATCCACTTAAATTTGATTTCCACAGTTAGCTACAGCCCATGCAAATAAGACTCTGAAAGATCAGGCATGAAAAATTGACAGAATGTTATCAATTTCGTAGTAAAAATCAGTAAAATTGAATACACTGTTTAATTTTTTAGATGCTCCTCCATGTTAGAGGATATTCACTAGAAAGTGGTATGTAAGCCATATAATTTTATTATCTTATAATGTACAATAAATACACAACTCACATGAACCACAAAAGTTTATACCTTTTTCCAAAGTTATTTTGCTTTGGAAAGGAAAAGAAAAAAAAAGAAAAAAACCCTTTATATCTTTATTTAGACTGTATATTGTTGAGTTGGAGAGATGGGGTGGGGAGGTGATGAATATTTGAATCCAAGGAATCTAGAGTTACTAGAATGGCTACTATATATAAAACTTTAAGTTGGTATCTAAAATTGTTCTCATGTGACAAATTTTGCTACAATATTGATAAGCATATGCATAAAATTGACTTGATTAAAAATGAAAAAAATAAAAGAGAATCTTTAAAAAAACCCAAATTTGAAAGGATAAAGTGAAAGTAACAAACGCTCAGAGACACCACTTCCTTGACTCAGACTAGTCTTATTGTCCTGCCATCCTTCACATCTACTTTGCAAAATTCACTGATTCCAAAGGAGAAAGCTCAGGCGACCACAAATTTTGTCTTTTTGACTCCCTCTAGTGGCTACACTCTGTATTAACTTCTTACCTATAAACTAACAATTCTTAATAAAGTGGTATTTTCACAGTTACTTCAATGCTGCGTTTTCTTTTTATCTGAAAATTAAAATGTATGCTTTTGTACTATACATGACAAATGATTTAAATGAAGCAAAAATTTAATATACTGGAAAATAATACCTTTAAGTAAAGGATAAATGAATAAGTATTCCTTATCCAAAAGGAGATTTAGGAAGTAATCTTATTAAGAGTTATTTGTAGGGAGGGGGGCGGGTATATACATACATAATGAGTGAGATGTGCACCATCTGGGGGATGGTCATGATGGAGACTCAGAATTTTGGGGGGAGGGGGGAAATGGGCATTTATTGAAACCTTAAAATCTGTACCCCCATAATATGCCGAAATAAAAAAAAAAAAAAGAGTTATTTGTAGATCATCACAACAAACCCAGTCTTTGAATAAAATTCTGATTGAAAATTTGCTGAGGGCCACTGTGGCATTTTCTATGAATCTTTGGTGAACTGTAACATGTTCTTATTAAATTGAGTAAGTAGGTCAAAGGCAGGGAAACAGATCAAGAATGACCTGCAGCAATCCCTTTGAACATGACTATTCATTATCCCCATTTTTTTCTTGACTTGTTTAAATGCTACAAACTAAGTAGAAAAAAGTGAGATCAGTGTTGATTTATGGTTTATTTGCTTTGTTTTTTGTTTGGTGTTGGTTTTTAGTATTAATGATCACTATTAAAAAAAGGAAGAAATTATTTCTCTAAAAGTCCCAATTTGGGGGCTTTTTTATTTCTCATATAATGCATTTCCCCTTAAAAATGTTATCTGATCTTATATAAGGAAAAGAAATGCAGACTTACAAAGAATCATTTCCATAGATGTCACTTTTTTTGTTTTGTGTCAAATAATAGAATTGTTCAATAGGAAGCTTTCTGAAAAGAAGGAAAAGGTTAAATTGAACATCTTTTTAAATTAACGCAGTATAATGGAAAGATAGTAAAAGACAAATAGATTAATACAACTATATATAGAAATTCAGTTTATGAAAAGTATACATAAAAATTCAGTATATACAGAAATAATTTTAAATCAGTAGAAAAGGATGTATTTTTCAATACAGGAAAAATTCACTATCCATTTGTGAAATATTACATTTCTATCTTATACTATTCATAAAGATAATTTCAGAGGTATTAAAAATCTAAAGAATTAGAGGAAAACCCTATATAAATATTAAAAAAAAATATATAGGAATATATTTTTTCTTGGGTGGTAGGAAGGACTTTTAAAATAAGATTTTTCTTTTAAAACTCAAAAGCTGAAAGGAAATTTGATAACATCAAATTAAAACTTTTGCCAGAACACCCCAAAAGTTCAAATAAAACAAAAATTGGAAGAAATATTTGCAAAGATAATGCATAAAGGATTGATATCCAGAACATAAAGAACCAACAATAATCTATAAGTAAAATACAAGCAATAAAATGGGCAATTAATAAATACAGAAAAGGAATATAAATGGCTATACAAAAACCATAAATATAAGGAAAAGTATTCAGTCTAAATAGTAACCAGAGAAATGCATTCTCATAACCATAATACCCTTTAAACTCATTAGATGGGCAAAAATATAGTTTGATAATAAAATACAGATGTCTGAAAGTGTGAAGAAACAGATATTAATACTTTTAGACCCACCATGAGAATATAAGTTATTTGGGCTACATCTACTAAAATTAGAAATATTTATATATTGTGACTCAGGATTTGCCCTAGAGAAACATTTGTGCATGAGCTCCAAGAGCCTTGTACAAGGATATTCCTTACAGTATTGCTAATATAAAAAGCAAAAGAGAAAAGAATACATGAATGGCTAAGTAATCTATGGTGCATCCATAGCGTGGAACACTCTGAGAAATTAAAAAGAAATGATGCAGCTCTCTATTTACTGGCATGGGACTCTTTCTAGGTTGTAGAGAGAAAAAAGCCCAAGGTGCCTAATACTATGTATCAAATTATTCCACACATAAACAAAACACAACCTTATATTTTCAATGGATACATGTATAATTGTGTAAATGCATAACAAAAGGTGGGGAAGGAGACATGCCAAAGTGATAACAGTTGCTCCCTCTGGGAAGGGACATAGGGTTGGGGGTGGTGGTCAAGAGAAGATGCACCTTAACTGTAACGTTCTCTTATATATTGTGCTCAATTGTCACTTGTGGCTGCCCAATATCTTTTGAATACCCAGTTACATTTTTATAGTGAGTATGCTGTGAATCTCACCTGCCCAACATGGATTCCAAAAAACTTGGCTTTCCCAGCCGCTGAGTGGCCCTGGAGTGTGAAGGTTATTTGTACCCTACAACTGAGGATGTTCTTAATAATCAGGTAGATAAAATGACCAACACTGTGGATGTCGGTCAGGATTTTTTCAGTCACCTCTGTGCTTGCTTAATGGCTTCGTAACAAAGTTATCATGGGGGCAGGGCAGAAGTTATGTATGGACTCAGCAACATGGACTTCTCTGCACCCAAACTTACCTGGCTATTGGCACATTTGAGTTTGCCAGCAGAAGTGACCAACCCTAAGCACTTAATAGGGTGACCTATCCCCATGTGTACTAGTCAGCCACCTGGTGGTAGGCTGATTACACTGGACCTGTTCCATCATGAAAGAGAGAATTTATCCTCACAAGACAAGACAGTCCTTCAAAATATGGATTTCCCTTCTCTTCTCACCATGCTCCTGCCAGTAACACCATCAGTGGACTTTCTGAATGTCTTGTCCCCTGCCATCTTAAACTATATTATGTTTGACTAAGGGCTTGATTCACCACGAAATAAACTGGGCAATGGTTGGTTTAATTCGAAGGATTTGACGTATTTACAGAATATTATATTTTGCCATATTTACGAAACATTAGCATGGCCCACCGAAGGTTTAGTTATGGCTGAGTGTTGTCCTAAGGCGTGTGGCATATGCTCTGAAGCAGTGACTAATGACTACATTCTCCCACAGCCAGCTAGAAACCAAAGGGTGGAAGTGGGAGTGGTGCCTCTCACTGTTATATTTACTATTACACTTGAGAGAATTTACGTCTTCCTCAGCCACTTTGAGCTTTGCTGGTCTAGAGTCAAGGGAAAAATGCTTCCATCGAGGGACACAACCATGGTCCCACTACATTGGAAGCTGAACTGATGATGATGTGGTAATTTGGGGCTCCTTATGACTCTGGATAAAATAGGCAGGAAAGGATTTTGCTTAGTAGGCTGGGATGAGACTGATCCTGAAGATCAAGGGCCAGAGGACTCCTGCAATACAATGTTGGGGGGAAGGATGATTTCTTGAACTGGAAGAACCTTTGGACACCTAGTGTTGCCTCCAGTGGCATAAAGATAATGGAGTACTGCAGCAACCTTACATGGGCAGAACCACCAAGAGCTTAGATCTTTCACAAAGAAAATTTTGGATTGTTTTACCAAGTAATGACCTTCTACCATCTTAGGTATTGGCTGAGGGTATGGAAACGTGGAACAGGTAGTGCAGGAAGGAAATTATGAAACCAATGGTGGCCTTATGACTAGCTGCAGAAATGAGGACCATCGTCACTTCCCATATTTACTTCCTTGCTGTGTCTTGGATACTTTTATATATGAACTTTTCTTTTTTTCTCTCCTTTTTCCTTATTATTTAATATGGAGTATGTTGGTGATGGTTAACTTTATTAAAGTACATAGGTTTAGACTATCAGGACAAGATTACAACTGAACTTGAGAGGAGTGAACACTTGGAGCTGGATGCAGGAACTAATGAGACTTTGGATCTTCCCTTCTGGGGAGGTGAGTGCATTTTCATTTGTATGGACAATTGTTGCATTTTCTTACATTGAAGCAGCAGTTCTCAAACTTTGCTGCATGTTGGAACTATCCGAGGGCTCCTCTTAAAATGCAGATTCTGTATCAGTAAATCTGGGACAGAGGCCAAGATTTCGCATTCACCATTTCCTAAGTGATGCTGATGCTGCTGGTCCATGGACCACATGTTGAATAGAAAACATGTTATTGTCGTTGCTATTGTTGTTTAGAGTGAAGTCAACCAGCACTCATGCCTATCTAACATCTTTACAATACCCTCTCTAGATTTTGCTAGTTTCCCACATTTGGAACACCAACCACACCCAGAAATTCACTTCCCACCTTCCTAGCAGCCAGGGTGCAAATGTGCCCGAAATTCTGCCAATCATCCACATCTGCACCAGATTTTGATTTGAACATGAGTAGCCTGAGACAACAGGCTTCATGTGGGGGCTTCCACACTGCTGATAAGGTGGCAGCAGAGGTGTCCAGTTATACCAGAGACACTTTCCCTGGATGAGGCCAGTCCTGGGAGTGGAGTCTGACTACTCTTCCTGGAAACTGAGCAATTAGCCTATTTCTCTGGCCTCCCTACATTTTGTGAGATAATCTAATATCCTCTAATAAATCCTGTTCTTCAATACTAGCCAGAGTGGATTCTGTCATTTGCAACCCAAAAATCCTAACACATAAAAATGAATAACTTGTGTAATTAAAATTTGAGTTTAAAAATAACAAAAGTGATTTTAATGGAAAAATGAACTTTAAAAAAAATGGCAAAAGTAATTTAAGTGAGATGGCCATAAGGCACTTAGCACAATGTGTGGCGTGTAGTACTTGATAAATGCTGTTGTTTTAAAAAGAGATTATTTTATTATTTTTATGGAAATGATACATCCTCATAAAAGTTAGAGTAATTACAGAAAAGTATACACAAATACCACCAGGTAGAATATGACTCTATATATCTCTGTCTAAAAATAGACATAAGGAAGTAAGAATGGAGAGGTGGACAGCTATAGTCAGAATTAAAGTTGCAAGAGTAGGATCAAAGTTCGTGGTGTATTTAAAGGAAGATTAAAAATTTAAAATTTTATTAGCACCTAACAGATGAAAAAGTAAAACTGAAGGAATTCCTGAACTGTAGATATGTATCTTTTCACTACACAGGCCCTTCATATCTGTATAAAATTTTAAAATATTTTGAAAACATTTAGCATGTCAGGGTCATTATTATTTTGTAGATAATTTGACTCTCAAGTCTGAAAGATAAAATGATAAACTGAAAATAAAATCCTAAACCCTCTGCTAACTAAATGGATTCCTCTTGGCCAAGGGGACCCCCAAAACATTTTAAAACTGAGTTTCCAGCCATGATGGGATGGGAGAGACAAAGCATAATTACACATGAACATAATTTCCTTTTCATAAATATTCATGACCCTTCCTATAGCCTGTTAAATATTTATATATATATATATATATTTGACCGCCCTGCTCAGTATAAAATCTTCTTCCTTTTGTCCGTCTTTGAAGCACATGTGCTTGGCTTTTGGCCGGAGTTCTGCTTCCCAGCCTATTGGGATGGCCGCCCAACAGGCTGCTACCCTTCATGAGAAATAAAGCTCTCCTTTTCCCAAAATATTATATAAACCTCGTTAATGTTTTTTTGACAGCCCTATACACTTGCTTTTGCTTTCCCTCCCTAATCTCTCCAGTTTGGTTTTTTATACAATCTGCATTTTGCCAGGGTCTGTGACATTTATTACATTTTTGTACAATAGCTTTCCCACTCTTGGATTCAATGCCCACCACCAGCCCTTTTGTTACAGCTTCTCTGTTCTAGAGTTCTTTTATTTTGATTCATTTTTTGGAATGTTAAATTTATTTTCAGGTTTTTTATTTTTCTTTTTTAAAGAAGGGCTCATTGGGTGCCACATACTCCAAATTTTCTCATGCTTGTAGCCTTTAGGCTTGATTAGCCATTTTGTTGCAAACATGTCTTTGGGTTACATTTTCTTTTCCTCAAAACTTAGAAGATTTGTCTTCTCACATTGGAAACTGCTGTAGAGGCTTGAAGCTAGTCTCGTTTTTCCTCCTTGTTGCTGACTTGCTTTTCCTGCTTAAATGTCTAAATTAGTCTTTATGAATTCAATTATGTGACCAGGTTATATCTAAATGCCAATAGTTCACCAGTGTTTCCCATTTTAGGGGATCTTCCTTTTATATTCAGAGCCGGTTCATCCTTAATTTTATGGGAATTATCTTGTGTATCTCCGAAAACTGTTTTTCTGTTCCACTTATTAGATGCTCTACATTTGGGGCATCAGTTTTCCTTATTATGAATAATTATGCCTCCTAGCCATCATTTTATTCTTTTTATTGCTTTAATGCTGTTATCTTTCTCCTTTGCCTTCTCTGTGATTTGTTGTCTGTATACTATTAAGTCAACATTTAGTCACTTCTATTTCTTGCGTTTTCTTTTTTACTATATTTGTAAGTGTGGTTTTGTGACAGTGGTGTGTTCCTCATTTTTTTCTTAACCTTGCAATCTCCCCTTTCACAACATTCTATTGCCTATCCCTTATCTTGTCTTTTATTAGATTCATATACCCATTTAGTCCTTTTATAGGGAATCTGCTTTTATTATTTTCTGGGCTATGTTTTCTCTTAGACCTGGTTTCTTCATATATATAATATGTGTGTGTGTGTATAAATTTATAAAGAAAGTTTATAGAGTTTTTCTTTCCAAATAGGATGACCTACTCATTCTTTTAGTCTTCTTTTCAAAGTGAAGAATTCTCAGGATTTTGTTGACACACCTTGCCTCTGGAATAGCTGGGACTACAGGAATGTGCCACCATGCCTGGCTAACCTTTTCTATATATTTTTTAGTTGTCCAGTTAATTTATTTTTATTTTTAGTAGAGATGGGGTCTTGCTCTTGCTCAGGCTGGTATTGAACTCCTGAGCTCAAATAATCTTCCCGCCTCGGCCTCCCAGAGTGCTAGGATTACAAAGCCACTGTGCCTGGCCTTTTGTCTGCTTTTTATCACATCTTTACTGAGGCTTACAGAAGGTCATTGGCTGCACACGTCCCTGTTAATGTTTCTCTCTCTAGCTGCAGCTTGTCTTTCCTAATTTATTTCTTTTATGTGCTTTAGAACAAAACATGAGTTAACCAGATTGCTAGTAAACTAGATAATTAGGATTGTTAGATAAACCAGGAGTAAATAGGCTCTGTGACAAGGTTTGATAGATTCTGCTCTGAGTAAATTTCATAATCTTTAGAAAATACTCTTTTTTTTTTTTTTTTTTGAGACAGAGTCTCGCTTTGTTGCCTAGGCTAGAGTGAGTGCCGTGGCGTCAGCCTAGCTCACAGCAACCTCAAACTCCTGGGCTCAAGTGATCCTCCTGCCTCAGCCTCCCGAGTAGCTGGGACTACAGGCATGAGCCACCATGCCCGGCTAATTTTTTCTATATATATCAGTTGGCCAATTAATTTCTTTCTATTTATAGTAGAGACGGGGTCTCGCTCTTGCTCAGGCTGGTTTCGAACTCCCGACCTTGAGCAATCCGCCCGCCTCGGCCTCCCAGAGAGCTAGGATTACAGGCGTGAGCCACCGCGCCCGGCCTAGAAAATACTCTTAATGTGACATTTGCTGCTCAGATTTTTTTTGCTTTGTCTTTAATTTTAACCTGTTTTGAATAGAGTTGCTGAGTGACTACAAGATTTATAAATTATTATTGAAGTATTTTAATACTTGAGAACAATGCCCAGAAGATTCTGATGACTATAATATTGATGAACAAATTACAAATCCATAGTTTCCCCAAACCAAAACCATCTGTACAAATTAGGTCAGCTCTTTGTTCAAGTAAAAGCATTTTAAATTTAATCTCTCTTTCTCTGTCTCAAGAATATACCCATTTAGTTTGAGATAAGAAGTTTGGAGGTAGATTTAAGTTAACAAAGGACTCACAACAGAAATAAAGAAAAATGTATAATACAGACCTTTATGTGAATGGCAGAAAGTTTATTTACCTTGGACAGGTGTCTCCCCCAAATCCATAATGCTGATGTCCTTTGCCCATCGCGAGAGGATGTTCATATTTTGACCTGTGCTCTTCGGGGAGTGAAATTGGCATTATCCCACCATATTCCCTTTCAGCACCCCACGGAAGCCGACATCGTTGCATTGAGTCCCTTAATTCCCGATACCTGTGAAAGAAGAGGAACCCTTTTTGAACAGCTTCAGCAACATAACATATGCTTAACTGCATAAAATTCCGGTTACTCCGTAAGTCTTTTTAGATCACATTTTCAGAACACAGAATTCTCAGTGTCAGGTACATTATGATATTAATATATTAATAGATACTGTTTTTTTTTTTTTTTTTTTTTTTGAGACAGAGTCTCACTTTGTTGCCCAGGCTAGAGTGAGTGCCATGGCGTCAGCCTAGCTCACAGCAACCTCAAACTCCTGGGCTCAAGCAATCCTTCTGCCTCAGCCTCCCAAGTAGCTGGGACTATAGGCATGCACCACCATGCCCGGCTTATTTTTTGTATATATATTTTTAGTTGGTCAATTAATTTCTTTCTATTTTTTGGTAGAGTCGGGGTCTCGCTCAGGCTGGTTTCGAACTCCTGACCTCGAGTAATCCGTCTGCCTCAGCCTCCCAGAGTGCTCTGGGCGTGAGCTGCCACGCCCAGCTGATACTGGTTATTTAAGCATCAAGGGACTGCGGAAGGAATGAAGTTAAATTCCTGAGGACTAGAGCAGGGGTCCTCAAACTTTTTAAACAGCGGGCCAGTTCACTGTCCCTCAGACCATTGGAGGGCCGGACTATAGTTTTAAAAAAACTATCAACAAATTCCTATGCACACTGCACATATCTTATTTTGAAGTAAAAAAACAAATGGGCAAAAACACCTGCATGTGGCCCGAAGGCTGTAGTTTGAGGACGCCTGACCTAGAGATTATCTTTTTTCCCAACAGTTGCAGTGTGTTTATTTTTTTAAACAGCTTTATTGAGATATAATTCAAATGCCACACAATTAAATCATTTAAAGTGTACAATTCAATGGCTTTTAAATTTATTCACTGGTATGTGCAACCATCAACATGGTCAATTTTAGAACATTCTCATCATCTCAAAAAAACTCCTATATCCTTAAGCCACAACCCTTATGCCCTCTACCCTAACCCTTATCCCTAAGCAAGCACTAATCTACTTTCTGTCTATAGATTTGCCTATTCTGGACATTTCCTATAAATAGAATCATACAATATGCGGTCTTTTGTGATGCACTTCTTTCACTTAGCATTATGTTTTCAGGGTTCATCCTGTTGTAGCATGTGTCAATACTTCATTTCTTTTAATGGCCACATGACATTCCATATGGATATATTACATTTTCTATATCCATTCAGCAGTTGATGGATATTTGGGTTATTTCTACCTTTTGGCTCTTGTGAATAATGCTTCTAAGAATTTTTTTGTTCAAATACCTGTTTTTTATTCTCTTGGGCATATACTTAGGAGTGGAACCACTGAGTCATGTGATAATTCTGTTTAATTTATCGAGGGATGGCCTAACTATTTTTTACAGCAGCAGATCCATTTTACATTCTCACCAGTACTGTATGAGGGTTCCAATTTCTTCATATCCTCAATACTTATTATTTTCTGTTTAAAGAAAAAAAATTCTTTATTGGCTGGGTATGGTGGCTTACACCCGTAACTCCAGAACTTTGGGAGGCCAAGAGAAGAGGACTGCTTGAGGCCAGGAATTTGAGACCAATCTGGGCAACATAGTGAGACCCTGTCTCTACAAAAAATTAAAAAATCAGCTTGGTATGATGGTGTAGGATTGTAGTCCCAGCTACTTGGGAGGCTGAGGCAGGAGGGAAGTTCGAGCCCAGGTGTTTGAGGCTGTAGTGAGCTACGAACATACCACTGCACTCCAGCCTGGGCAATAAAGTAAGACCCTGTTTCAAAACACACACACACACACACCAAAAAAATTTTTTTATTATGGCCATTCTAGTGAGTGTGCACTAGTACCTCATTGTGGTTTTGATATGGATTGTTTGAGCTCAGGAGTTTGAGACCAGCCTGAGCAAGAGCTAGACCCCATCTCTACTAAAAAAATAGAACAAAATTAACTGGACAACTAAAATATATATATATATATATATATAAATTAGCCGGGCATGGTGGCACATGCCTGCAGTCCCAGCTACCTGGGAGGCTGAGGCAGGAGGATTGCTTGAGCCCTGGAGTTTGAGGTTGCTGTGAGCTAGGCTGATGCCATGGCATTCTAGCCCGGTCAACAGACTGAGACTCTGTCTCCAAAAAAAAAGAAAAGAAAAATAAAGAGATTGTAAAGGAATAATACTAATATCATAAAGGACCTACTTGCTCCTAAGTTCTATCTAGAGCTCCTATGATAATGGTTCTCAAAGTGTGGTCTGTAGACTCATTGCATAAGAGCTTACTAGACATGCAAATTCTCAGGCTTCATTCCAGGACCTAGGAATCAGAATCTTGAGGACGAGTGTAATGTTTCAACAAGCCCTCCACATGATTCTTATGCATGCTAACGTTTTAGAAGCACTGTCCTATTCAACAGTTACCATCTACGGTCATCAGGTCTCCATATCTCAACCCTTACTACAGTATTATTCAGTGGACTGAAGACATGGGAATTAACCTAAATTGGCTGGTAGGGCTCGATCTGATCTTTAATCTGGTAGCTCAGATGATTTTCTCTGCTCTTTCTTAACAAAGGAGTGAAGGGCAGGGACTCTATCTTGTTCATTGTTGTAACCATGCTTCACCCCAGTGCCTGACACACAAGAAGTGCTCAATGCATATCTACTGAATGAATGAATAAGGCCAAAGAGATGGATTTGTTTACTGGACTGCTTTCTAGTGTGCAGGAATGAAATTCTCTGGCAGGGGAGAGAGCCTCAACAAACACTTAAGAATATATCTGGCAAAAGATCTGCTTCCTGATTAGGAAGGATTTAATGATTTCTAGTTTCCAGCATTGGCAAGCGGGGTTATTTGAACCAAAGTTGCCACTGAAAACAACTAAAAATGCTGGGAGGAAAAAACAAAAGCTTAAAAAAAAAAAATCTGTCTTGTTGACAAGACAGAAAGGGGTATGAGTGCTACAAAGAGGATAAATAGGAATCCAGTAAGGTAAACACAGAAGCCACTATTGCCCTCCCTCAGGCAGTGCCAATTCTGGCAAATTTACGTATTTGTTTTAAGGGCCTTGCAAGGTGAGGGATACAGAAATCAGCCAGGTGAGGAGTCAAAAGGAGACCATCTCCACAATAAGCTGAGACCCTAAAAGGTTTCATTTCTCACGTTAAAGGTGATTCAGAAGTAAACCAGGCCGGGCGCGGTGGCTCATGCTTGTAATCCTAGCACTCTGGGAGGCCGAGGCGGGCGGATTGCTTGAGGTCAGGAGTTCGAAACCAGCCTGAGCAAGAGCGAGACCCCGTCTCTACTATAAATAGAAAGAAATCAATTGGCCAACTAATATATATAAAAATTAGCCGGGCATGGTGGCACATGCCTGTAGTCCCAGCTACTTGGGAGGCTGAGGCAGAAGGATTACTTGAGCCCAGGAGTTTGAGGTTGCTGTGAGCTAGGCTGATGCCACGGCACTCACTATAGCCTGGGCAACAAGCGAGACTCTGTCTCAAAAAAAAAAAAAAAAAAAGAAGTAAACCAGCTCTAGAGTGGCCCAAGTTTGCATCCACCCAAAGCTTGCTCTTGGATTGGTAGTATGTGGCCCTGGATTGATATTATGCCCTTAGGCATTTTGTAAGACAAATAGGAATCTTTTCAGGAGGAAGGATTCTTGACAGAATCAGAACATGGGTTCCAAAGGATGAATTGGAAGAGAGGGAATACTGGGGTAGAGGAGGGATAATACAGAGAAAGGCCTAGAGATTAGAAAATTGAAGATTTCTGACAATGTTGGCTTTAGAATCTCTTTAGGGAAGAAACTACTTTTGCTTGATAAAAGTATTTTGCTAAGCATTGGTGTATGCATAGAGACTCCAAAAGCATGAACATTGGGAGGAGCCCAAGCAACCTCTGACTGATTACACTGTTCTGCAGTGGGAGGGACTTGTTTTTTGTTCTTGAGAGAGGAAGAGGAGAGGAAAGAGGAATAAAGGAAGAGGGAGAAGAGTGGAGGCAGCAGGGTGGTTAGGATGCTGGGAACTGCACTGGCTGAAAACCCCCTGAAAGACCCCTGGTGACAGCTGGGTTAAAGAACTTTAAAGAATACTAAAGTTATGGTTAAGAAGGGATTTTAAGTTCTATGTAGGATGGCATGATTGACTCTCCCTCCTGGCCCCCAGCAGTTCAGTGACGTTTACCAAGCTCACAAATGCTGTGTGGAGGAGGTCTTGGAAGGAAATTGATGAACTGAGTTTTGTGTCTGGATTGGTGTGTTGTTGAACAGAAACAGCGTAGTCAAACCAGGAACCCACAGTCATAAGTGACCATGAGACTTTCAAGTGCCACCCCTATCCTCAACCTGGAATTTGGATAAATTCTGGGTAATTCCACAAGGCATGGAGTTAAGATTTGAGTGGAACTTTCCTGGATCTTAAAGGCTGAGAAAATAGAGTTGAATTTTGGATTATTTTAGTAGAGCTGATATAGAATTCAGGAATTTGGGGCACAGTAGAGAAGAGCCATGGTGACTGAAGATACAAGGACAATATCCTGTGGGGCCTTCTAAGCCCCTTTGGGCTATGAGACCAATGGGGAGCAGTCAGAAATGGCAGAGAGCTCAGGAGAGAGGCATGAACTGTGGAGCTACTCCTTTCCCTTGTGCCAGTATGGTGCTTAGCTTAATATAACTGAAGAAGTAACACCCAGGACTGTCTAATAAATGGAATGTACTGGAATGTATTATTTTGTGAAGTCACTAGATTGAGGGTTGGTAAAGTATGACCCATGGGCCAAATCCAACTCACCATCTGTTTTTGTAAATAAAATGTTATTGGAATGCAGCAATGACCACTCATTTATGTGTTGTCTGTAGTCTACTGCTGCTTTCACCCTACAATGGCAGAGTTGAATAGTTGTGATAGACAATGTAAAACCTAAAATATTTATTATTTGGCTCTTTACAGAAAAAGTTTGCTAACCCTGCACCAGCTAGTCAAGGAGAATCTTGGTGAC